CCCTACTGGCAGCCAAAGTGGCCTATTTTTGCAATGACAGGAAAAGTATGACTTCAAAATAAATGTTACCTGCAACAGTATGAAGACTAGTTTCCCATCTATGCAATTAGCAACTTTTCTAATTGTACTAACCAATTTTTACATCACCTAATGGCCAGCCCGTTGGCAATTCAAACGTTTTTTTCGTCTCTTGAAGGAACTACAAGTTTTCTTGAATGAACTACCGGTTCTTGCAAAATGAGCACAAGGCAAGGCTTATTGCTCGTGATGTCCTCGATATGTCTTGAGCATCATCGCCTCTTCCCAGATATTGTCACTCTTAAATCATTTTCATTATACTCGCGATAACTTATCGTGACATAGTATAATTTATTTAGCAATTTTTGATCAGATTGTTGCAACAATTTTTTGTTGTAAAATTATTACTTTTCTATCAAATTATTTATGATTGTTTATCGCTAAATTTTCGCAACTTTATTTTTTCCTTGTTAAAATATTTTTTGATTGTTTAATAGTTTTAGCCATCCTCCACCATTAGTCGGGTTTTGTTGAGAAATTCTGGGGAGCTAATTCCCTAGACAGCGCATTTTCTTGTTGAAATCAGTTGCAGTTTAGAAGTTTATTTTATAAGCGAATTTTAGTTTGCGGTGATGCAACTACTCTCAAATATAAGGGTCGTACTGTAGCGTCGGAAAATGAAAGATACGAAAGTGTGCGCCACTGTCGCTATGTGGACGAAGTGTACAAGGATGCTCCATGGCACTGTACAGTTGAATTCCTCAAAGGACTTAAGGTGTTTCCTGGCAATACGTACTGGTTTTATACATCACTTATCTGAATCTCATTTTTCCTATCATCTACGAAATTCAAGTATTTGTTGTAGGGGTTTTTTTGCATACTTTTTATAACTATGCCTAATGATGCCATAGCATCCGGTACCGATTCTAACAACTGAAACCAGTGGTTGGGTTTCAAGAATTTTTCAGAACACTGGTTCTCCACAACTCTTTAATTCGGTTTTGTTGGTAAATTGGCTCTCTATGTGTCAAATAGAGTTTGATCTTTTGAAAGAGGCTGAATCTAGTGTTAGTGGGATGTAAATACGCAGCAAATGTTTAGGAAATACTGTGTTTTTCACCAAAATCATTCACACTGTCGAGGTCCTGATGCTTCTGAAAAGTCGTTATGTACTGAACATGCCTAACTTAATTTAGTGACCATCAGCTGTC